TATTTTCGAACAGTTTTGTTTCTCTTCGTAGATATCTCTATTCTTTTCTATTTCTCTCAACTATTTTCGTTTTCCGAAAAAAAAAAAGAAACGGATAATTTATGACTGCGGACCGTAGGAAAAAAGGGAAGAAAGAAAAAATGTAGTCTTGTACTTTGAAGGTTTCTCACGACCCTACCCAAGATAACTTTCGGTCAGAAAAAAGTATATATACGTCCTTGAAAATAATCGTATTGGGATAATTGGAGTGACGAAAAGGAAGATTGCTTTTTACATGCTATAGCTAATATGTGACTAATGTTCCATTCCTTTTCTATTTTATGTTTTCTCTTGAACAATTTGATAAAAGTATAAGGATATATTTTTGACTTGTCATTTGGATGATTCTCGTAGTAATAAAATCTTGTAAAGTGGCACACAACGACAATGTCGATGGTCATTATTTATTGGTCATATTTCACAAAGTAACCGGGTTTATTAGGACAAATGAACATTTTCGTTTGGTTTTCTGAAAAACAAAAACATAGATGTTGGTGCGAATGCAGAGATAGAAAAAAATAAATGTAACGCCTAGGTGTAAACCTACTACAACAGGCACGCACAATTCAATTTGGCAACAAACGTGAAATATTTAACGGATGCCAATCGACGTCTGTAAACTATTTCGTATACTCGATTTTTTACACCAAATTTATGGGCATAGGAAGTGAAACGTCGATATATATATATATATATGTATATATATGTACACGGAGATCTATTTTCAAACGTTTGCATTTCACGTATCCATGTATACTTCGTGCTAAACGTTTTTCGCGTATACACACACGGCACACCGCCCACGCATCGATGGACCCGATGGGAAAGCTAGACGCGCACAGATTTAAAGCTACACCATCTTAACCGATACTTTTTTACACTGGACATACAACATAGTACTCGCGTTAACGTATTGCTCTTGTCAGGACCTTCGAAAGCCCCGTATACAATTTCGTAAAGTTGTCCCTGTCCCTGTCCCTGTCATAAATCAAATCACACATATGATCGTTTCTAAACGAACCGAAAGGAAATATACTGTATTTGCATTGGTATTCAGGCAAGCTATCTGTAAAAATAACAAAATTTCTATAAACTCGATCTTATATTGTTTTAAAAATGTTTTGCAAGATATCGTGTCAATAATCTGTTGAATGAAATCACGTTGAGACGTTGACAAATTTAAAGGGTTCATATAGTTTATGTGTATGCATAGAATTATAGATAAACGATGTCGTAGAAAACTGGACGTTGGATCGACGATGGTTGCTAGACTAAAAAGAGCAACCGTGGAAAGCGGTGCGTGGTACTTTATTTTACGAGATGCACTTATTTCGGATCCCGCAGGGAGACTACTACTACACTATACCTACCGGTGAAACGTTCCACAAGGAAGACTAGAGGAGGGTCGACGAGGAGGGTCGGTTTGTGCACTGACCCACATTGTCGTTGCATAACGGGACGCCTTGCGAAATATTCGCAAGTTTAGTACCTCCGGGCGCGTCCACTGACGACGGCAATGCTCGTAAAAGGAAACCCCCCGCGGCTATCCCCCTCTGCTACGTGACAGAAGAGACTTTCTTTCTCTCTCTTTCTATCTCTCGTATAAACCCAACAACCCTCCAAAACTCTACGTCTGACCGCACGCACGCTGCTCACCATTTTTTCATTTGTTGCTTTCTATTTTTGTTCTCATTTTTATTTTTCCCTTTTCCATATTCTTCATCACCCTTAAAACTTACCAGTTCTCTCAAGGCTGATTAAAAACTCCTATTTTTCTTATAATTAATCTGATTTTTTATTGGAAATATACTTTGGTATAATCAGATTAGTTAGAAAATTTAGAGACAGTAATACTCGATCGTGTATCAATTTTATAAATGGGGTGCTTAGCGTTCACAGAGATGACATTTTATTACAACAAATAAAGGTTTAATAATTACTGATGCATTATCGTCATAACAATAGGATGATTAGTTTGTTCTATTCTCTCTGGAATGCTAAGACTTTGGTGTTTGAGATTATTCCTTTCTCTGTTTCCTTGACCTGTCGTAAAAGGTTGCCTAGTTGAACCCACAAAGTATTTATCGCGTCACGGTAAATTTCTATCCGTGTTCTTTGTCGTAGGGGTTTTAACCAATATTCGGTTATATTTCGAGGTGTGTATTCTGGGTGAACAAATATCGCGTGGAACTTTCCCATGTAGATTCTGGAAATATTCAGCTCACAGCCAAGTCGCTCAATGGGAACGTCACCTAATAAACGGTCTCGTAAACGTCGGGCTCGCGAATTTCGCTGGCGTCGAATTGGCTTGATGCGGGTTGAAACTAGAAACGGCATGACCACTTCTCTACAACGACACGAACAAAAACGATGCGACGATCGTCGTTGAAGTAAATTATTCTCTCTGATATTTGGCCCCGCACAGAACGTCGTCCTACGCGTCTACGTCGAAGAGCAAAGACCCTAATGTAAGTGTGTGTAAGTTTATACCTATGTATATGTATGCATACATAAAAGAAAGGCAGGGATAGAAGAAATCACGCATAAAGTTCGATCGAATCCTGGCGTTACCATCGATACCAAGTCGTTCTATGCAAATGCGCTTAAAATGAAAGTCGACAAAAAAAAAAAAAATCATATAATTAGGATATTTCGAGTATGCGTAAAGTTTCGTTCAAAAGCCTAGCCTCATAAATGGCTGATGAATGCTGTGTCATTGAGTTGTCCATGTAATTTGGACTTGAAGAATTTTGAAGAAAGAAAAAGAGAGCTAAACTAAAGTATAGGATTTATCAGGTAATTCTTGTTTTTTCTCTGACAACTTTGAAAACCAGTTTGTACGGTTGGTCAGGCTACCTAGTCACTATGTAGGTAAGTAAGTGAGTAAGTAAGTAAGTAGTACTTATGAGAGAAAGATAATTACAATTGAGAAATCCTATCTCCTTTGTGAACGTATCTTCTTGAAGTTGTATTGGAGATCAATAAACATTGATATAGAATAGAATATAGTTGGAACTCCGACGATAAAGAAAAAGATCTCGACATGGAGAGTCGCATGGTCGACGAGAAGGAACTTGGGGGCTGCTCGATGCAAAGTTCGCGTAAAAGGATCGGTCGATGTTTAACGTTCCATCGACGATATGATACAGGCGGAGTCTTTGCGGGGGCGCAGTGTTGGAGATGATACGAAGAAATGGAGAGGAAGAGGGACATAGAGGTTGAACAGTAAATCGGCTGCACTTTTAATTGACAGGAATGTTTAGCGGTAATGAACGGCGAATGAATAAAAGAGGGCCGGAGGGCGGGATAATCTAACTGAAAGAGAGAGAAGGAGGAGGAGGAGGAGGTGGAGGAGAAAGAGAAGAAGAAGAAGAAGAAGAAGAAGAAGAAGAAAAAGGTTATCGGCAGTAGCGCAGGAAGAGAGAACGTCGTCGTCTTTAGAAGGAGAGCGAAGGAGCGCGGAGCCGCGACTAGATAGAGACACGGCGTACCTCGCCAGCCAAGAGCATAAACATCCTCTGGAACGGCATTGCCAGTGGTGGTGGTGGTGGTGGTGGTAGACTTGAGTGGAGTGGAGTTGAGTATAGTACAGTGGAGTAGAGTGGAGGTGGTGGAGGTGGTGAACCTGGCGGGGGCAGAGCGCGCACGTTCCGCAGAGTGGGCGTATCCATCGAGTTCCTACCACGGCAGCCGGGGTGTTCTATGACGCTATAGATCATGCGGGCTCCGCCTGGTAGGCGGGCACTGCCTGCCAGTTGGTACGCCAGTGCACTACTTCGCCCCGCAGCATTAGCCAGTGTTGCCAGCGATGCCCTTTGCCTTATGCTTTCAGCCTGCCACTGTCACTGTCATCGTCCCTGTCATCGTCATCGTCATCGTCATCGTCATCCAAACGTCAACTATCCTATCTTTTGCTCATATCATTCTTTCTCCTACCCGCCAAAAACGACTCAATCGAAGAGAATTAAGCGAATTATTGCAACTTTAAACTCATATTTCTTGAATACAAGGAATTTTACCATACTTCGATTGTTTAAATTGTATCTACAGTGAAAAAAAAAACAATTGAACGAATTTACTTTTAATTGGGAATTGTTCTCATGAAAACTGTTGTTCGGTATTTCTTCATTCGAATATACTTATTTGTTTGGAGGTTATGTCGTGATTATAGGCATTTTATTTTTGCATATTTCTCTTGTTGCAATCTTCATTGATATGTGAAAACATAGCAATTGAAAATATTTTTGTACATTTATTATTTAACATATAACTTCGTGTCAAAATGAAATATTAAGAAATGTGCAATAAAAGTAACCTGCCATAATCCATTAAAGAATTTAATTTATGATAATTATTCTAAATAGTACGATTATAATATTTGAGAGAGTACTTTGTAGATATTGTACACCATTATGTACACCACTATAAAATTGATTTACGAAGGTATATATCTGTTCTATAGGACGATTTCTAAATGTTAAATACTTGTTTCGTTACTGGCGATTTGCCAATTTACATTGTTACGAACGTGTCATTATTACTCAAGTTACTAAATAAATAAAGCGTTGGTGTTACTTCGTCAACATAAAACTATTCATTATTGTCAAATATTTCTTCTGTTATAGTATGCCATAATATATCAATATATAAATTACGATAACAGTTATTTTTTTCTTTTGTGAGATAAATTTATACTTAAAAAATTACAACATTAAAATTGCATGATTGCACGTTGATTACTTTACAAATAAAATCCTATTTAAAGCCTAAGCTGACTATTTGAATTTAGTTTATATATCTAAACTACTCAACGATGCTGAACAGTAGTTTGGAACAGAAGGAGAAGTATTTTTGAGGTTAGTTTACTAAAATATCGTCTCGTGTCTAAACCCCGATAGTCTCGAAGTCATTTACATTTTCTGATCGAAGGTAAAGTAAAAGTGCATCGTATACGTACTCACCTAACAGGATGGTGTCGCGATAAGAAGATATTCGAATGAAAACTTTGAGAAACTCACAGGTGTGTCCTCGCGTCGCCGTAAAACCGCGCACGTAGAGAAGCGCCTCTCGCGGCAGCTAATAGAAGCGTAGGTCGTTTGAAGCGTGTTCATTCCCCTCCCGTGTAGGCACTTTCCTCGTGTCGCACGCGGAGAACAGATACCGTGAACGTGGGCCCCGCCTCCTTTTTCGAGCTTCTTTTGTGCGCGCATTGCTTTCAGGCCCTTCACTAAAACGCATTTTCCAAACATTTTTATAATTTCGTTTCTTGGAATTCCTTGAAAAGATAACCGAAAGTCTAAAAATAAAAGTGAAACAAAAGAAATCTGTGGACAAAATCAGTTTGTGTTCCAAGAAAAAACAATTGCTAAACGTTTCAAAAGGAATCCAGCGAAAACAATAGTCTTTTAGTTTTCCAGGAATTGTATTTGTGTAATGATGAATATCTCATCTTCATAAAATAGCCATGCAATCAGGATACGTTTTATCCTTGTTCATCATTGTAATTCGCTCATTCGCTCGGTAAAGGAGTCTCTTAGTGCATACGATAGACGTTTCACGGAATTTCCCTCCCCCGGTTGGCCCTCTCTTCTATCTTTGTATTCGCGTGCGCGAGGCGCGAACGGTCGAGCTAAACGAAAGAGGAGGGGAGGAGAGAAAGGAGGAGAAAGAAGAAAGACGCGAAGCGACGCGGCTGGACTGAGTGCGACGGAGAGAAGAAGGAAGAGAAGGTGGAGTAGGAAGGAGAAGAAGGAGGAAGAGGTGGAGGTGGCGAGGAGAGCGACGAAACGAGAAGTATAGAAAGGAGTGAGAGAGGGAAAGAGGACTGCTACTCCTGGGGCCCCCCACCATGCGGCCTGCCGCCGCGACGCCAGTCCGTAGTCAGTCAGCGCTGGACCGCCGCCCGCTCGATTTCGCGATCCACGAACGACGGTAGCCTCCACCTCCTCCACCACCTCCTCCTTCTCCTCCTCCTTCTTCATCTTCTTCGTTTCTCTCTCTCTCTCTCTTGCTCTCTCTCTCTCTCTCTCTCGCCCTTGCTCTTGCTTACTACCCCTTTCCTTCCAAACATTCTCTCTCTCTCTTCTCTCTCTTTTTCTCTTCAAACTCACTTACTTTTCTTCTAATTTTCTCTCTTTTTCTATACTGTCGTTTCATCTTAATCTTTCTATATTTCTTTCTTTGTTTCTTTCTTTTGCTTCCATCTTCACGAACGTCGCGCGCGAGTTTCACGAACGGAATCTTTCGTGATTGATACCGAAAATCGCGAGACAAAATCCTATTTACTTCTTCTTCTTCTTCTTTTTATTCCTAATCTTTATTATCAATTGTTTTCGTGAATTAATTATTATAATCGCGTATAACGCGTATAACGCGAAACAAAAGGAGGCTTCGAGATCGTACTTTAACCTTCTTTATTTCAGTTTTATAAGTTGCTGTATTCACTTCTTTTCTTACATAGGTGTACTCATGTCGTTCGACCAATGATATCGATGGAGACGACCACAAAATAGTTTGATTAAAGTGCGGGTTAACGCGGAGCGCGGCGATCGGTTTCTGACATCTTAGATTTCTGACTTCTTCTCTTTTCGCGCCTACAAATTCGAAGATGGCCGAAGAAGTACGAGACTGGTATCACTGCGTTTTATTCGATAACTTTTTTAACTTACTTTTGCAATCTGCAATTATTATTATTACGAATACTCGACGATGATTATAGTTTAATGCAAAAGTGTGAAATATTCATCAAATTATTATATCAATAGTATTAATCGTTATATTAAACAGCAGCATAATACAGAAATTCAATACATAAATCTATACAGTTGCTCACGGACTACGGTGTATATTGGTAAGAAGAGATAAGAAAAGAAAAAGAAGACAAAGAAGACAAAGAAGAAACAAAAATAAAAAACGAGTGGAAAAGTGCATATGTGTTTTTCGGTTGTTCCGATAAAAAGCAAAGAAAATAAATTATATGGTGTCTTGTACAAAAGCTAACGATGAATAGCAAGTGCCGTATAAGGAAGATGATGAGAATGACGATGATGACGATGACGATAACGATAACGTTAATGAGGAGGAAGATGATGAAAAACTCGACGATTAAATCGACAAAGAAAATCGAATCTCCGTCGATAACGATGAGGTAGTGGTGGTCGTCGGACACGTGTTGTGTGCTTGGGTGAACTGTAGTGCGCGCGGGAAATATAAAGAGAGGGAGAGAGGGAGAGAGAGAGAGAAAGATAAATAGAAAGAAAAAAAAAAGATAAAGAGGAAGACTGTCGGTATTTGTTTCCCGCGTTTCTTCCTTTGTCAGAATTTTTCTAAGTGTGCGTAAAGTCGCGTTCTATTATCAAGATCAATTCATCGAAGAGATTGAGAAGAAAGAAGAACTGGAGTCCACAGGGATAATTGAACAACCCCGCAGGACGCAGATGCCCCGAAGGAAACAGCACGCACCGCAACGAATGAAATGTAAGTCATTTAAATCTAACACATTTTTTAAAAATTATTTGTCAATATATTTTGACGATCTAATTGTAAGTTCATGCACGCTTTTAACAGCACGTAGAGCGTCGGCAAGCCACGTGCTGTTAATTTTATCTCCGATTTCACAATAGCTTTTCATCGTTGTCGGTTTGTACCATCGATGCTATCAATTTCTTTTCTTCTTTTTAAAGCTTTTTTCAACTTTTCAAATGGAAAGATACATACAAGAATAAACCTGAATGCATGCAAACGGTAGTCTATTCCTTCTTCTGTCCCTTGCTACTGTGCCCTTTTATAGTTTGGATATGGTTTTTCTTTTGAAACTCTTCTAAGAACCTAAGATACCTAGAAATATACCTGAATGGTTGCTTTAACAAAGTAACCAAACTTATATACAAAATACAAATCGTCAGTTTGTCTCCTAGGATTAACAATTTGTTCATTAAACATTTTTTTTTTTCAAACAATATTGTGATTTAATCATTAATGCTACTGCGCCTACGCAAAGTCTTTTAAGTGCATACATAAAATGTATGTGTCATTGGTAGACAGTGAAGAAGTACAAATTAGAAAGTCAATGTTTTTAATGGAGGACAAACTGTGGCCGAAGAGGTTAATTATGGTCACAAAAACCACTGAATACGCATACGTTTTTCTTCTGTCAATCCTATATTGTTCTCTTTCTTTTTTTGTTCTCAACCTACCTCAAGCTTCTATACAAAGACAATACCAGTGTCTAATTTTCTAACTCTCCAAATTTATATAAAAACAAAAAATTTCTAATCTCAACATGTCAGGAGTTCTTATACTCCTGCATATGTGTGTGTCAATAGTGATTCGACTTTAACTAAAGTTAAAATTTAAAGTGTCGATCAAAGAGTGGTCAGAATAAAATAAAAAAAAAAGAAAATACAAGGGGAAGAAGAGGATTTCGAAGACCGTAACGCGCGCCATGCTGCTTTTCCCACGTGGGGAGCCATGAGGCGTAAACAAACTCGCCCCCAACGGAGGACGCCATCTTGGTGAAGTTCTGCCGGAAACATTTACAATTCACTTAACTTGCCCTCCACCCAAAACTTACCAAAGAACCGATAAATCTTTGTCTATCTGTCTATCTGCCTGACTTTCATACGCGCATGCGTGCAATCCCTTCTAGCGGCGAACATAAATTCAAAATTTTATGTCCATGTCACATTGTAATCATCCAAAAAAAAACCCCGAAATTAATGGAAGCAGTGCAGGACAGCATTGATGTTATCTTGAAATCAATTACAATATTCGATATTGGAAAGATTTCTTTTATTTATTTACTTGTCTCTCCCAGGACGACAGTCTGAAAGTTTTTTTATTTAATAAATGCGACAATGTTTTAATAATCGAATTTAAATTCATGGATATCGATTGATAAAAATATGAGGCTAACGCGTACAGAGATGGAATATGATATCGAAATGAAAAGAAAGGAAATCGTGAATTTCCGATTCGGATTTTGATGTATTTGAAGTCGAACGAATCTCATATTCGAATGCTATAAATCCGAAAGTAAAATGATATGTGGGCCAAGGCGATGCATCGATGATTTCTTAGCGATCTTTATGCTCTCATAACTGAAATATATAGGTATGAAAATACCTAGCTCTAACAGCTTCAGTTATAGACGAGATTCTTTGCCAAAAGGTACAATCTACTTATTTACTTATTTACGATTTGTTATATAAATGTTCAAATGGTTTTCATGCTTTCTTCGTGCAATAGAAATGCAAATTGTAAATCCCCGATTTTTGTCACGCTCATTTGTAATCTGTAAATATCATGAAAATCAAGCGATTCTAGTGCAGGTTGTTAATTTGACATTAAATTAGAATATTTGTAAAATATTATCGATCAGTTGTATAAAAATAATTTATACTAATATTATAATAGTATATAAAAGCAAGTTGATCTAAAGGATAAAGTCATCAGCGAAAGTCATCAGCGTTGCGAGGCCTAAGAAAATAAGAAAATATGGCCTGCAGCCTCCGGATAAAAGCGAAGTGCGAGCCCGACCATGGTTGTTAATTTCTTCCCTTCGATTTATGATGTCCCGTTCTCCAAAAGATCTCACAAAACATCGATTCGTTCGGATCGATCTCTCAAGTATGTATCGGTACCCCAGCTTGGTTCGAACTCTACCAAAGAGAACTAATTAGCAATATTTTAACGATGAACTATTGCCAGTCTTCTTCGATCCCCTCTCTCTATTTTCAGCGGTAACATACTTGATGAAAAGCCAATGTATTATATAAAGATACATACTATCTAGGTGTATCAATCAAACAGACAAAAAATGTAAAATCAATGAATCATTGATATCCCGTGAAATTTTGTTTGAACATCTCTATAAATAAATATCATAAATATTTGTTGAAATTTATTTACCTGAAAAGCATTAGGTTGCTTAATCTTCTTTGCTTTTTAATTTATTTTCTGTATATAAATGTTAATTGTTGTGAATAAAATGCATAGCAGTAACGTAACAATGGGTCTTTGACTGTTATTTATCGGAATACCTAGAACGTTGAAGGACATTTACAAATATCGAACGATCGATTAGCAGCGTTAAAAACGCGTTTTATCCCTCGTGTACGATAGGTGTCATCGTGTAGTGGAATTTGGTGAAAAATTGTGAACACGGTACGATCGACGTCACTACAGGCCGCTAATAAAACGCGTCATACATCGGTATGCTTGGGAAAGGTGCATTAATCGCGTGCTTGGAGACGGATTTACGGCATCCACCGCAAAATTCGAATCCTGCGCAACAGGTGCAGCGTAGATGCATCTTCGCATCTCTCGTCGTCTTAAAACGCTTTAACGCGAATACTTACTCGGTTTTAGCGTTAAGCAGAAATCACAGTTTACACAGTGTTTATAATCAATCAATCAATCAATCAAAATATATTTGTAATTTACAATTAATTGGTACAATAAACAAAATTCAATAAAAAGTCAAGACATTTTTAAATGAAAACCTTACAATCATTGGACAATTCGTGATATTTAATTAATATTCAATTTCTAATATATAAAACGAGTAGCGTCAGTTTTATCATATCCTTTCAACATGTATAGAAATATTTTCTCTTTTACAGCATCCATAAGATTATTTTTTTTTTTTTTCAACAGAAAAACCGAGTAAATGTGTAAAAGATAGATGAAAGAAAATGAGAAAATCGAATCGTTTACTTAGGTTTAAATCGAGAATCGTGGAGTCTGTCGTCTTTTCGCGGCTCTCAACGCGTTTATTTCATTCATAAAGTACGACGTAGAGGAGTTGTAGACTGCGCACGCGTATTCTCTTTGAATTTCGTTCAACTTCAACTCGGTTTGGTTCGGGTTGGCTCGGCTTGTTCGACGCTCTCTTTGCTGCCGGATATTTTCGGCTCAACGAACGAAAGACGAACAGAGACAGACATAATGATAGAATGAGAAACAGAGAAAGAGAGAAAATCACAGACGTTCTTGACTCGACGAAAGGAACGTTGAGAGGGTAAAAGAGAAAAGCTTCAAGTAAGTAACTAAGTAAAGTTAAGTAGATTCATTCGTTGAATTCATGACAAGATATTCACTGTAGAGAATGATGATAATTCAACGGAAATGATCGATTTGATGACATTCTGAAATTCTACGATATTTAACATCTTTAGTTTAGGTAAAATATAAAAAGAAATAACATTTATGAATAACGAGACTATGAGATACCGTTCGTTCTTTCGTTCGTTCGTTCGTTCGTTCGATTATATTTAAATCGTTGTCTGGTCGTTCATTCCAGAAGAGGACAAATCGATTTTCGAATACAGCTGGCCTCAAACCGTGCCAAAAAAAAAAAGTCTTCTCTTCGTCGGATTAATAATTAAATTTGAAGTATCTAAAAACAGCCATCGTTCAGATTACATTTACTTCTTCGATTGGTTAACTTTTCATGAGATAACCATCGAGTTTTCAACGAAATTCCATTCTTTCTTTGATCTTCTTTTTCTTCATGGTCCCCCTTGTTTTGGACGAAATATTTTCTATTCATCTATTTCGACGATAAAATCTTGGATCTTGTTAACAATTATTTGTTATTTTGAATCGTTTAGCAAAATGATTTCTTTTTAATATACACAACTAACATGAACCCGAGAATTTAAATATTTGCATTAGATTTTAATGTATAATTTATTATTTTTATATCAGTTAATTTCCTGTATAACATTACAGTTTTTTTTTAAAACTTTACTTGATTTCATAAATAATTTATAAGAACATTGAATCTTTCTCGATGAACATAACATATTTTGAAACGTTTAAGGAAATAGTTTAAGAAACCGTTAAATTACCATATTGTCGTAAGAAACTTTGCGAAAAGTTAATCTTAATGGTGTCCACTTGAATTTATCTAATCATTATGAGTCACATTAGTAGCTAGTCGATCTATCAAACTCGTTTTAAATGATTACTAGGTTTATTATAGAATACTTATAAATAAATACAAATATTTCTATATAATAGAATATTTGTCAATATTGATTTGAATTTTGTATTATATTGTTGTTTGTTAATAATAAATTGATCTTAGTCGTTAAAGATGAGGAAACGGGGAAAGAAAAACTTGTAAAAAGAATTCACGTCGTTCTCGAAGTCAAACACGGACGGATATAGAAAGTTTCGAAAGCTGAACGATACAAGCGAAAGACATAAATTCGGTAGATACGAATCTATTTTTATTCGACGTTACGGAGTATATATGTTAACTTGTGATTTGTGCACGCATAATCTTTAAAGTGACAAAAAAAAAAAATATTACCAGGATTCTTCGTCGATGATGAAACGAAGATATTCGAAGAACGCTTTATTAGTACACTAGACTACCGTATACCGCAAGTTGTATTCACATTTTCTTAATAACTGCTGCAGATACAGAAGTTTGTACACAAAAAAGAATATCAATCATGTCAAGATCG